TAGCAGCGACCTTGATGTTCTTCTTACAATTTCGTTGATCTTACCTCGGAGACCATCGCATTTTAATGGAAGAAACAATGCATTGTTTGGAATTTGAACAGCAATGTGTGGCGTCAACTGCTGTACGACTTGCTGTTGTGGAGATTGCAGGGGAGTCTCATACTCCGACGACGATGCGGACGGCGAAGATGAAGACTCACTGGGTGTACAAAATACTTTGTACATACCTTTGAGTGCAGTTGAGGCGTTGGAAAAATCTAGCAATAAACAATAAATATTCTAAAACTTCATATTTCCCAGCCGCCATAAAATATCACATGTGAACAATTCGGTGATCTTGTGCGCTGACGCATACGATAATGTGTGAGATAATAAAGGTAATGACCCACACACACACAGATATCGATGCGCTCAGTAGATGCACAAGACCACTTGAATGAAATGACAAGCAGTGCTGCAATGTTCTCCATTCAATATTGGAATAGAAATGAATAATTGTTTGGCTGCGATTAGGTGAATTTGGAAACGAGATTAAGGAGAAAATTCCGAGGACGAATCCGCTCTGATCAATGAAGCACTCGGAGAAGAACGAATGAATTCACGTACAGAAGGCCCCAAAATGTTCGGCGGATGCGGGGAAGATGAGTACGACGACGTTTTTAGAGGGAAAGTATTCATCGAAGACGTAAGAAAAGCCGAAGAAATTTCTCTGTTTATGAAAGGGTATTATCAGAGAGAAATCAAGAGCAACCCAACAATGACCTGAGAATGGAAGACGACGAATCGGAGCTTACAATCCATTGACTATATTTTGCAACGTGGATGATGGCAGTCTGCAACGATGGACTATTAATTCGGCAGCATGGAAAATGAAGTCGGCAAGAAAGACTGGGAAAAGAAGTGGAGTCGTTTCCAGAAAGCGTTTACCTAACAAGATATTCACATTATTTTACATATTATATACATGTTTATATAGATTATATTTCATATTGTTATATTTAAATATTTCGCACCAATCAATTTTTCAATTTCATCAAAATACAGTCCACTAAAACACACACGTTTAAGCCGCCCGGGAGAATGTACAAAATACTTTGTGCATACCTTTTAACGGTATAGCTGTCAGAAAAATGGACGAACACGAACATGTACTTACTGGGTTGGCGCCCCTGGTCGGAGATTTGTTCCTCTAAGTCAATCCGGAACATAGAACTGGTCGCCGTGGGATTGGGTCAGCACTGTGGGGTAGAGGAGTTGAGTCTGATAGATAGGATTGTAAGCACCCCAAAAATCTTATGGGCTATACACTCGTTCAAAACTTTAAAGTCACCGGGAACGGACGGCATTATTCCCGCCATGTTACAGCAGGCATCGACAATACCGTTTCTGGAAGTGATCTTTAGGGCTTGTCTGCGTCTCTCTCACATTCCATTACTGTGGAGGGAAGTTACAGTCATGCACTTCCTAAAGACTACAGGCCTATTCGTCCTTCATCGTTTCTGTTGAAAACTCTGGAGAGACTAATATATATTCAGATCAGATCTCTACTACCCTTAACTTCGATCAACACTTCTCAACATGCCTACATGAAAAGTAAATCTCTTGAAACATCGCACTATAATGTAGTGGGTTTTGTGAAGAAGAACCTGAACGACTTGTGCTTCACCTTGGCAGCCTTTCTAGATATAGAAGAGGCATTCAACAATGCTACACTTGAGGCAACTTATGCTTCTCTTACAAAACTTAGTTTACCACTTCTAATTGAATGGATTGATGTAATGCTCAACTCATACATTGGGGAGTGCTCTGTAAGGAAATCGGTTACTATGGGTACCACACAGGTGGTTTCTAGTAATAAACCATACTTTAAAGGACCTGTAACATGAAGTAGTGGCTTACGCTGACGACGTGGTTCTGCTGATTGCGGGTAAATTCTTGTAAAATGCTTCAGATCTTATGCAGGGAGCTATTGTGAAGCTATCTTGATGGGCACGATCCAACGGACTCGGCGTGAACCCATCTAAAACTGAGCTCGTACTTTTCACAAGAAGGCGGAAAATCCCAGATTTTTCGCTACCTATGCTGGATGGAGTTAGTTTAAACCTGTGAAAGGAAGCTAAATACCTCGGTACTGCCCATGATAAAAACTAAATTGGAAGAGGAATATCGAGGAGCGAGCGAAGAGACGCTTAATCGCACTCTATTCTTGTAGAATATAATCAAATGGTTTTATTAATCTTTTTTTTTGGTCAATACTAACTTATGGAGAGCTAGTGTAATGGCATGCTTAAGACACTGCATTTAAAATCACACCCCAATCTGCACTTGACACCCTACTCAACTAAAAACCCCTAAGAATTTTGTAGAGAAACAAGCTGCTAGGTGTGCCCTACGACTCAATGAACTGGGACATAATCAGCGGGCTATAACCAGCGATTATGTATCACCCAGGCAAAGTTTCGAATCACTTGACATTCACATACAAAACAGGGACATCTGCAATCGGAACACACCACCTTTTAACGGTATAGCTGTCTATACCGATAGTTCAAAGATTGGAAATTGGCACGGGAACTGGAGTCTTTTGTGAAAATTTGAATATCCGAAGATCTTTTAAAGTAAACAACGACTGCAGCGTTTTTCAGGCAGAAATCTTTGTTTTAGGAATGTCATTGAGCTCTTGGAAAATAGAATCAATGAACTGAACAGACTGGTGACTATATATGTCGATAGCCATGCGGCCTTTAAGACTCTTAATTCTGTTACAATCAAATCTATGGCTGTTCAGAAAAAGTTTAAGAAGTCTGTCAAAATTTATTGGGTTCCGGGTCATTGTATCATATCTAGCAATGAATCGGCAAATGAATTGGCCAGAGGCAGTTCTGAGTCAGTAGATCTAGAGATCGACAGCTCAGTGAAGCCACCATTATGATATTTCTTCCAAGTATTACATAAGCACTACAAGACGATTCAATCAGAACTGGCTGGTTAGAAGGTGATATAATATCTCCAAAAAAATAGGGATCGAAATCTCATCTAAGGCTTATGGTAGGCCTAAGTACGGGACACTGTAACATAAGGGCCTTGTCTTAAAGATGGGGGGGGGGGGAGTGGTGTTGACGACACTGAATACTGCAAGCTCTGTCACGGCGATGAGGAAATCGAGACGGTGGAGCACTTACTCTGCCATTGTTCAACTCTTTATTGAGTCAGACTGAGGCTACTGCACCCCGAGAGCGACTGGCAAAACAAAGAGTACTACGTCGTATCAGATCTCTTGTCATTTTATCCAAAACGTTGGGCCCAGACGGAATCTCAATGGTAATGCCGAAACAGCTGGATACGCCGGGAGTCGAGTATCTAACGAAAGTTCTCAACCTGTCGCCAGCCACCCACATATTACCCGAAGCCTCGAAAATGGATCGGGTGGTCCTGCTACTGTCGCCAGTAACAAAGACTGTTGGGGCTTTATTCCTCCAAAGCATTAGGAGGAAACTATCCAGTTGCCAACCATTAGCACAGCATAGTACCACAACAGCATTACACGCCATTTCCAAACATATTATTAGAGGACTGAACCAGAATTTCCACACATATTATTAGAGGACTGAACCAGAACAGGCCGTGTGAAAGAACAGTGTTGTCAACCCTTAACCTATCAAAGGCATTTGATACGGCAACCATGCCATAATGCTTGAGGACGTGCAGAGAATCACTTTCCGTCCAAGTTTAAACCGTTGGATAATCAACTATATGTGTGGACGCCAGTCGTACGTGGAATTCCGGAACAAGAAGTCCAAAGCCCGTAGAGTGAAACAGGGAGTTACCCAAGGTGGAGTGATATCTCCGGAACTGTTTAACCTCTACCTTTCCGGAATTTCTCGTCCTCCAGACGGCATAGAGATCGTAACGTATGCGGATGATTATACGATCATGGCGTCGGGCCAGTGGTCGATGACATATGTGAAAGGCTGAACCCCTATCTGGCGGAGCTTGCCGCATACTTCCACGCGAGGAATATGAAAATATCCGCCACGAAATTCAACGGCATTCGTATCCACATGGTCTGCGGAGATGAGAACACAGCTGAATGCGCAAGTCGTGGGGAATTGAATACCGACCACGAACATGTTTAAGTCGTCCGCGCAAGTCACATCTATCTGCGACAAGATGAAAAGTAGGAACAAGATCCTTAAGGCGCTAGCCGGCAGCACTTGGGATAGGTCGGTCTGTAATCAGATGCGGCTCCAGTGGTCTGCGAATACTAGTGCTGCGCAGTGGAAGCACTTCCAGACCAACCAGAATGCTGGCCTGAGAGCTGCGATAGGGTGCCTTCTCATGACACCAGTGGACCATTTACATACGTTTTCGTTGCAGTACCTGCTTGGGTGTTACCGAGAGAGTCATCCTAACCATCATATGGTGCATACAACTCCCCCACACAGACGTGTCAGGAAGGACATACACGATCTAGAGAGGGAGGTCCAAAGCTATAACCTCTAGATCAAGAAGCCTATCAGGCAGGTCTGAGTGGCATTCATACCGACGCAGTCGCGGATGCTATTAGCAGTTATAGAATGAATGCCGTCCTCGGAGTCTAAGAGGAAGAAGAACGCCAGTTGCCTGGACAAACCAGGGTAGCTTTGGCGCAATTACGTTCTGGATAGTGTAGTCGTCTTAATTCGTATTGGGCACGAATTGACGAAGATGTGCATGACGTCTGCCCGGCGTGTGTTAATTTTATAGCCAAACCTACCCAGCTCACTCCAGAAGATCTCTGGCTACAGCCCATTAAAGTAGCCAAATTTTTAAACCTGAAGTTTGCTTAGCAAAAGCAAACACATACATGTACTACTGTCACAACAACAACTGTTTTAGCAGAAAAACTAAGAAAAGTTTTGATCCATTTTTGTACTTTTAGCCATTGACGGCTTTCAATAAATGTTGTAAAAACCTAGTTTGTGATACTGAAAATACAAAAATTGACTTATAATACTTACATGTAAAAGTTACCAATGCTATTCTGGTTGATGTACTTGCCAGCTCTCTTGCTCGTGTGGTATCAAATTGATTTTGAATAATTGGCTCCACTACGTTCACAGGAACGTAAAACTGCAGAGAGTACGAAAGAAATATTGCAACGGCCATTGCCACTCGTACTAGTTGAGATAGTCTACGAAAATTAATTTAAAAACAATAAGTGCAATTCATATAAAATGATATAAATTATAAGCATACATTTCGTCTTGGGGCAAATTTAATGTAATGCTGCCTTTAACACCATCCCCATATTTCAAGTATCCAAAAAATCCAACAGCTGTATACAAAGTAGCAACAATTACCATGCTGGTATTTAGGACTCCAGTCATACCTCCAAAATCTTCTGGCGTCTTCATATTATTTTCTAATGGTAAAACAACTCCAATACCTTCAAAAGCATATATGGCCGTGCCGAAATACAGTGGCAAAGTAGACCAAGAAGCCAAAGGTTTTACAGTATCTGCACTTGGCAAATCTTGCAGCATGTAAAAAAATGATATCGCCAAACCAGTTACTGTGAGTATTGCAGCAAAAAGCGAAACAGGAGTCAAATATTTGAGATTCCTCACTAAATTTAGTGGTACCATAGGTATTAAGACTAACATTAAATAAATTCGGACATCCAGCTTTATAAAATAGTGATCAATAACTTCTTTTACGTTCAACGCGACGAAAAGAAAGTAAACACAGCAAAATCCAATTTGAGTAATAAATAAGAAAGTTGTTATCATTTTTCTGGAAATAAAGATAAAAATATTTTAAAGTTTCAAAATTGACAGTGAAAATCTAGCGATTTATTCTTAAACAGTAATTTATTTTGTTTCTTTGTGAATTTGTAACATGGAGAAGGAAGCGAGATAGACCCATAATTACTTTTGAGGACGTTGATAGAATCACTTTCTGAGTCGATTTATGGAAGTCAGTCCGTCCGTCTCTCCATGTATTTTTGTGGACAAAGTGCAGGTCGTATTTATTATCCGATTGAGATGAATTTTTCAAACAATATTTGGGCCAAGGACGAACCCTATTGAAATTGGCTCGAATCGGTTTTAATTATATATATCTTCAACCGATTTCGGGTTAATTTTGCACCATATGGACAATTTGGTGAAATCGGTTCTGATATAGCTACAGCTCACATATATATTTCATCCGATTTGGCGTTAAAATCCCTCACATTCGCACTCCACAAGAATGATATTTAGTACCAGATATCTGGTACAGCCCAGAAATACTTCTGTCAAATTTTATTAAGAGCCGACATTTGACTTTTCCTTACTGTTTTCTTTTCTTTTTTAAACACTTTTTTTCAAACAAAAATTATTCATTTGTGACACTAAACAATCATGCGAACGAATGATAAACTAAACAAACATAAAAAATAAAAACAAAAAAATCAAAAAAGTCATTTTGAATAAAACAATATATTTTGTACAAAAATGTAAATAAAACTTTCTTCAAACAGAATATTTTTCACAGTTCACATGTTTACAGTATTTCAATTTTTTATTCTCTCCAATATTCTTCCTCCAATATTCCCATGTTTACACTTAATAAGAGAAAAACTTAATAAATGAAAAACCCAATTTTTTCGGTTTAAAAGACTTTTGATTTGAACATTTAATGCAAAAAAGTATGTATTTTCGAATATTAATTAGCATATAATTCATTTAGAGACAAGCACGGGAATTTATTTATAAGTTAAAACTAAACTTGTTATTATAATACTCACGCTGCACTGGGATAGGAGAAGGTCCGAAGCATCTCTCAAATTCCTCCGGCGTTTTTTTTTTTCAATATTGTGTCCATTACTTTGCGCCAGAGTAAAAAAATGGATTCCCCATTCATTCGATCTTTTATTTCTCTAATGTTGCTATATTGAATATTTAATGTTGTCATATTTACACTGCATTCGTTGTTCACCAAATCGAATGAAATCTGAAGAAGCTTAAACCAAAACGAAGGATTTTTAATTACGGAATTTAAGCCGTTGTGATTCGATTCATGACATGCTTCTAAATTACGGAAATGAAACAATTTCAATCGGAATCTGTGACATGCCACATAGAAAACTAAGGGAAACTCTTAATTGATTGTGTCCATGAAATTGAATCAGGCAGAGAAACTCCTCCTTCTCAATGGATTTGGAACATAAATATGTAGCACGTAGGACAATGAAATATACAAGGGGTAACGGGAAGGCTTTGAGTTATTTATAGAACCGTGGATATTACATTCTCCATGGATACGGGGGACGTTAATAGACAATCCCTATAAATTTAAGAACTGTAGCATCTATATTCGTCGACGACTCCGCTTGTTAATTTTAATGCGATATCGATTAATTGTAATTCAAAACACTTCGTATTTTTCAATACTTAATCGGTTTTATAATTACCTGCAGAAAAATGTACACAAACATAACTTTTATTTGGAAATGACAACAGCTAATCCCTACTGACTTACTATTGACTTTGTCACCAGTGTTACTGACCGAGTGTAAACAAGAAATTAATTCTCCCTATAGACATTTTGTATAAGACTGTCATTCATAATTTTTTGACATTGGATCTAGCGAGTCAGTAGTCCAAGAGAGGTCATGGGAGCCATATACATGCTTTAGTACCAGACCAACGTGCCTGTTGGTCGTTAGAAGCGCTTGGTCAACAAGCCACACTAATAGTTCCCACGCCGCCCTACGGTCATGTTAGAAATGCTGGGTCATCAATACATGCTAGAATTCAAATATCCGTAGAGAGAAACAGGGAGTGCTGCAAGGTGGAGTGATATCCCCAGAATTGTTTATACCCTTACCTTTCTGCCCTACAGACGGAATTAAATTAATAAAGTACGCGGAGGATTGTACGCTCATGACGTCCCGACCCACTACATAATGAGGTTTTACCGGTGCGAGAGCATAATAAAATGCAATACTTTCTTGGGCAATCTGATAGATCGGCTTAAATCTCTTAATTTAAAATCGATCGTTTTTGGTTTATCTCCTGCAGATTCCAATCGACTTGTCGAATTACGAAAATCTCATTATTCAGTGTAAATATGACAACATTAGAGGAAGTAATGAATGAGGAGTCACTGTAGATGTGGAAATTGTGAAAAGATTCTGTTTAAAATATTGTTTTTTATTTATTTATTTTTTTTTTTTTTTGGCAAAAAGAAAGTTAATTTGTAAACAGAGCTGGTGCTTGATTGTTTCTGCAATTGAGCCGCAAAGTAATGAATGCACCATTGAAAAAATACGCCGGAAAAATCTTAAAGATGATTCGGACCCCTTGTTCTACCCCAGTGCAGTCTGAACATTTCAATAACAAGATTAGTTTTAACTTATAAATAAATGTTTTAACTTTATAAAACGTTAATTAGCATTTCAAAATACATACATATTTCAAAATATATTTATTCATTTATTTATTTATATTTTTAATTTATTTATATTATTATTATTTATCATTCGAAAGCCAGATTTTTTACAAATGAATAATTTTAGTTATTTTTTTCAACAAAAAAAAAAAAAAAAAAAAAAAAATATATATATATATATATATATATATATATATATATATATATATATATATATATATATATATATATATATATATATATAGGGCTATATAGGGCTATACAACGTGGACCTATACATACAATATTGCGGCGCACTAACTAGGACCCATTATGACCTACAAGTACCATTTTTCAGACAAATCCGTGAAGAAATGTGGTGAAAAAGTGTGGCAAAAATCATCAAAATACCGAATATCGGGATGTACCGTTATATGAGGACTATACCAAAACGTTATATGGGGACTATACCAAAACGACCGATATATCTCATTTTCAATACCAACCATCCTAGATACAGTCGTGTGAAGTCGGGTAAATTTTAGTTTTTATGTTTAGTACATGTTATCGTTAACAACCTGTAAACATTTTTAGAAATATTTTACGGAAGGCACCCCGAAATATTTCACGGAAGGCACCCCGCGCAAGAATACGATCTACACATAATACATAAAAATGCATTTATACAAAGATATACGGAGAAAATATAACACAACCACAATCAACAAAATAAAACAATATTCAAAATGTAACAGGCAAACAGCATCGTTGTCCGCATCAGTTACATTTTTAATAAAATGCAGAAACATTGGTATTATACCAAACTTCATACACAACACAACCAAAAACACTTACAATATGTTCAAAGCAAACGACAAAATACCGCCAAATTTATTAACTTCTTTAAAAACACACAACTATAATTTTCACTTAAAACTACTCAAACATCTAATACAACACAAACATAAAGAACTGCACAAAAACAAAATCACAGTTACAAAAACCAAAGAAACACTTCAACAAGTAATGGACGAGAACGATTTTTCTCTTCTCATGGAGAGCGAAAATCATTTACATAAAACACACAACAACAATAACAAAACAAGACACGTCAGGAAATACGAAGCACTGCTACAAAAACAACGCGAAAAACTCAACATTAAACACAACAATGAGTGGTTTTCGAACAACACAAGCACAGTCATACCTGAAGATATTCAGTGGCTACTTTCGTTGGAACCAAAATATGCGTTACCAACAACAAAAGCATCATTCCCTTTATTAAATGTAATAGCAGAGAGCGAGGAGTGCGTGCAAACTTTAATCAATAAGGAAGATCAAGAAAACGGGAGAATAAAACTAGTCTCTCTGATTGACGACCACTTACAACGGACAAAACTGAGTATAAGAGATAAAATAATAATTGACACAGTGGGTAGAATAAAACAATTTTTAAAACAAAACAAAGATATCTTAATTTTAAATGCCGATAAAGGGGGAAAGACTGTTGCTATGTATAAGAATGAATATGATACCAAAATGAAGAATATACTGCGGGACATGTGCATAAATAGACGACTAAAACGGGATCCAACTTATAACCTACAAAATAAAAACAACAAATTGACGGAGAAATTACTAAAAATAAATATCATAAATGTTTTTGAAAAAAAAAAAAACAAATTGAGTACAAACACAGCAGTTGCGCCAAGAATTTACGGACTACCCAAAATCCATAAAGAAGGAAACCCACTTAGACCGATATGTTCATCAATAAACTCCCCAACATATGAGCTTTCCAAATACATCGTGGATATTTTAAAACATTTGACAAAGGATTCTAGTTATAATATGAAAGACGCGCTGGATCTAAAAGACAGAATTAAAGAAGTAAAAATTGAAGAGGACGAAATCTTATTATCTTTTGACGTTGTATCGCTATTTCCCAGCATACCTATACATTTAGCTTTGAAAACAATAGCAGAAAAATGGGACATTATTAAAACACATACACAAATTCCGAAGGACCTCTTAATAGAAATACTGACTCTTTGTATAAAAGAATCAAGATATTTTATGTATGATGACAAGGTGTATGAACAGAATAAAGGACTTCCTATGGGATCTCCTGTGTAACCGATTATTGCGGATATCGTAATGGAGGAGTTATTGGACGCTACAATGGGAAAAATGATGACAAAGCCAAAAATATTGATTAAATATGTTGACGACCTATTTTGCATTGTAAAGAAAACGGAAATTGACAACACTTTAAATGTTTTAAACTCCTATGATAGAAATGTGCAATTTACCCACGAAAGCGAAGAACAAGGAAAGCTAGCATACTTGGACGCCCTTATAATTAGACAAGGCAATGAACTGATCCTTGATTGGTATCAAAAACTGACAGCTTCAGGACGACTTATCAACTATTATTCAAAAGATCCAAGACGAATAAAAATAAATACAGCCGTAAATTTTATTAAAAGGGTACATAGCATAAGCGACGAACGTTTTCAACAAAAAAAAACGAACAGCGAATACGTAATATCCTTCAAAACAACGACTTCCCGAATAACACTATTGACGATCTTATAAAAGGCGCAAAAAACAATAACAAAATCAAAACGAGGGATACAATGAAAAAATTATACAAGCCAGTTACATACATATCTGGACTTTCGGAGCGATTCTGCGACTCCAACATTTATAATAAGGACAAGTATCAATTAGCCTTTAAATCTAAGAATAACGTCAACTCTTTATTTAGCAAAACAAAATCGAAAATAAAAAAAGAAGATAAGTGTAATGTAGTATATAAGATAAAATGTGCAGGGGACGAAACTAACATATGCCAGAAGGTATATGTTGGTACAACAAAAAGCAAACTTAAGACTAGACTATCTGGACACAAGTCAGATCAAAAAACGGACAAACCACTAGAACAAAAGACGCGCTTGCGTCACATTGCACGATGACTGGCCATAAACCAAATTTTAAAGACGTTAAAATACTGACACAAGAAAATAATTATAAAAGACGTTTTACTCTTGAAATGTTAAATATTATAAACATACCAACAGATGTTAGAATGAACTATAAAACTGATACTGACCACTGTGCACACATTTATAGGAACTTAGTTCAAAAGCATAGACAGACAAAAATTTAGTTTAGCATAGACGGTGAAACAAGACTGTTGCTTTTCTCAATAAAAAGTAAAATTGTGTGTTATTATTGTTATCCTAAATGTTAATTGTTTTGTATCTTTGTAGTTTTTTCCCTGAAGATGACTGTCGAAGACAGTCGAAATATCGGAAAATAAAAACCAAAATTATAAAAATAAAACACTGATGTTTTTCAATTGACCTTAAGCCAAAATAAAGTTAATAAGAATCAATATACAGGTCAACAATAAAAAACAACAACAATATTTTACGCCCCTTTTTTGAAGTTTGGCTTCAATCGAGCAAAAAATATTAAAAACATTGCTAATTTACTGGAACTCATTTTTCATAAATTTGGAATAGAATCTGCTGAATACAACCTACAAGTTAAAAAAATAGAGAAATGATCCGCAGTTTATGCAAAAAAATTTAACAAAAAATGGATTGCTGCCTGTAGAAATAGAAAAATTTTGGAGCATCGTCACGCTGAATGGCTAAATACAACTGTTGATTTTAATATGGAATATGATAAAATTACTTTGAATTCGGGTAATTTCAAATTACGAGGACGGCCACCTAAGTTCTTTTCGGAATCATGCTCACGTTCAAAGGTACATAAAGGTATCTGCAATAGTTGGAAATACTACAAGCAAGAATTATAAATCGCCGCACGGATGAGCTCATATAAATCAGGTGAAAGGGATGCAGCTGATAAAAGCAATTGTAAAATCGCGAAAAAAAGCTTCAACTTTAGAAAAAAAATTATCTTATCCTCAAGTTACACCCACCTTATATTCAGCTGATGAAGCATTGGTATTTTATGTTGACGGGAGTAGATGAAAGAATTATTAAGAATTTTAACATAATCCTTTCAACAATGGCTTGTGGTTATGCTTTTAATATCGAGGCATTTAATAATATTGATCACGAAACAGCAAAACTGTTCTTAAAATTGTAAACATGGTTCTACATGCCCTCAAGTATTCATAGGATATTAGTACATGCCGCCTTATGGTATGTTATCGGAGGAGGTATGGAGTCAAGAAATATGGATTTCCGGAATTATAGGAAGATGTCACGTGAAAAAAACATGAGAGGCCTTTTTAACAGATTTTTGATTTCTTCTGATCCTGTAATATCAAGATAATCTCGGAGTACTTACATCAGCTGTCGGCAAAGTGAGCCTCTAACAAAAGACATATTTAGCTTGTTACAGGATCCATTGCTACCAACTAGCTACAAATCAAACGAGAATTCAGATCTTGAAAGTGATGGAGATTATTAAATAAAATTAAATTAATAAATAAAAATAAAAACAATGCCTGTATATATAAATAATATATTCATTGAAATAAATCTTGTTTGTAAGTAAGTTTCTGAATTAAAAAATATTTTGTTTACACAACTATTTAAAACTAAAGTGTAACTCTGATTTTATGTCGATTCGTATCTAAATGGAGCATTGGAAAGCGAAAATCTCCAATTTTTATTTTTTTCGCGCTGAATTGTTGATTTTTCCCACAGTGCTTCGCCTCCTCATGTAGGTGATCGACATGTGTCATGAGGAGGCACCCCGTTGCGGTTCTGCCCGGACTGAATATTTTTCCACTGCGTAGCACTACCGTTGGAGGACCACACCGGAGCCGCATAGTTTACCACAGACCGACCTATTGCATTGTAAGAGGTCAACAAGGTTTCCTTATCAGCTCCCCAAGTTCTGCCGGCCAGAGACTTGAGGAGCTTGTTCCTATTTCTAATCGTATCGATAGCTGTGGTATGCGCGGACGACTTAAAGAGGCTATCGAATGTGACCCCCAAGTGCTTGGGGTAGTTAGTGGTCGGAATTACAGCACCATCGACCTGTACATTCAAAGATAGCCTCATCTCCGCAGTCCATGTGGTGAAAAGTGTGGCGTCGATTTAGTGGCGGATATCTTCATATTCCTCGCAGTAAAAAAAGGCGGTAAGTACAACAAGGTAAGCGTTTAACCGATCGCAAATGTCATCAATAATGGGTTCGAACGCCACGAGCGTACAATCATCTGCGTATATTATTATCTCTATGCCGTCTTTAGGATACTCAACTCCTGGTTCATCCAGTTGCTAGAGATTCCGTCAGGACCAAGCGATTTGGATGACTTTGCGCATCTGATGACATGTGCAACATGGCTGGAAGGGATCGTACACGGCGTAGGATTCTTCTCTTAGCTCTGTCACTCTCGGGGTGCTCTACAAACTGCCGGTTGAAATAACACGCGCACCTCTTCGGATCTGTCACTTCTACGCCGTTAAATGAGACAGATGTCCGATTGTCCTTTTTCCCAGGGTGCGAGAGCGACTTAACCGTTGCCCACAATTTACTCGTCCCGGTACTGATTTTGCAATGCTTCAGATGTTCTATCCACTTTCCGCTTATGCTCACCTATTACCTCCAGAGTAAGTTCCCAGACTTTGGGGTTATTAGGGTTACTATGAAGAAGCTCATCTTTAATGATGTCACCTATCTGCTACCTGAAAATCAGATGGGTTGGGCAGTTGTCTGAAGCGGCGAGTTTTATCTTCTCTGAGTTCTTGCCAATCGGCTTTCCCATGCTTAAGGAAAGTGCGGCGTTCAGAGTCTATGGTCTAAACCTAAAGAAATGAATGATTGCCAGTTTAGGTCATTTGTCCAACCTAGGAACACGATGGATATGTTCGGTTAGCTGTGGAAGTCTCTCCTTACTGGTGGGTGCGCCCTCATTCACTGGACAAAACGTGGAGCTATCGATTTGTGAGCCAGCGCCATGCCGATTATTGCCTACCAGAAGTGAACAGATATTAGGCATATAACGCGGGGCACAGCTATTTAGCGGCGGAATGTACACGTTGAGCAACTCTATCTCGGCGGTTCCACACTTGACCGCTACCCCCATACATTCCATGTACGCGTCACTAGAGTCAAGCTCAGGCGAGATAGAGTGGTGCAATAGGAACGTTAATCCTCCACCCCCTGGAGCGATCCTTCCTCAGTACGTTGTATCCATCACAACTTTAAAGCCTGCAGGTGGAACTCAGCTTCGTTTCCTGGATCACTGCGACCTTTATGTTCTTCCGACTCATAAAGCTTACGATTTCGTTAATCTTACCTCAGAGACCATCACAGTTGAATTGGAGAAATGGCGCATTATCCGGAACTTGTACAGCAATGTGTGGCGTCAACTGCTGCATAAATTGCTGTTAGGAGATTGCGGGGGAGTCTCATACTGCGACGACGATGAGGGCGCCGAAGATGAAGATTCACTGGGATCTACATTGACGCAGCAGGAAGCAATGTAGTCCCTATCGCTGTACTCCTGTATCCAGTTTAAGCCGGAACAATTCCGGAAAGGCACCCACTCCATGCATCCGTTGCATCTCACCGAGACCAATCGGCGGTGGATGCGATTACGACAAACGGAGCAGAACCATGGTCCGGGGTTGGTCTCGATCCCGGATCGAACCAAGGGAATACGGAGCAAACATTCAGGGTAATGTAGCTCCCACTTCAGAAAAATGGACGAACACGAACATGTTTATGCTGGGTTGGCGGCCCCTGGTCGAAGTATTGTTCCTCCGAGTCAATCCGGTGCATAGAACCGGCCGCTGTGGGATTGACTTTGGTTTGGTCATACCCGGAAGTGAAAAATCTCAAGCTATAATAAAAATGAATCAACTTAAAAAAAACTTGAGTTCGTCAGCTATTCGTTTCATCTAATAAAAAATCCGTTTCAAGAAGTCGATAACTTTGATATAATTTTCAACCGTTTTAAATAACCCATCATGGATAAGTATTTTCATTATCTTATATCCATATCGTTGTATTAGATGCGTGACATTCGGATAAAATTTTACCAAAATAGAGTTGACCCCAGAAAATCTGCTCAGAGTGTGGACATCTAAATCTAATTCTCATTTCTCGTTGAACCTAAAACAATGTAAATCACTCCCTTTTTTTATTTGGTGTTAGAAGATGACCCAGAATATACAACAAACAATCACAACGAACACAACATTAAAAGTTGCTGTTCTCCACAAAATTAGAATTCGACTTTCACTACATATGATTTCTGCTGTCCCACGACTTCTATTTTGGTATACAATTTAATGCTTTTACAAGTTTTTATAATTTCGTTAACTTATACTTTTATTTTACAACTTGATAACTTTTTCACTATAATTAATTTTTTAACTGGCCTAATCCTTTATTTACTCTTCAATCCTCCATGACTTTTGTGACCGCAACAGAGTATTTTTCCATTGCGTAGCACTAATGTTGACAACCACCAGCTGCCCAAGTGATCCCGACAAAGGACTTGAGAACCTTCTTCCACGCATACAGTTGACGACTTAACGTTTCAAACTTGGCCGAAGAGTAGTGTGCTCAATGTCAATGAGCTCACGGCTAATATGCATGGAAATAGCGTGTGAGGCTGTTGTCGTGGTATGCAATTTCCGAAATCCGGGTTGATGACCATCTACTAGGAAACTCTCTTATGCGAGGGGGAGTAATGCCACAAGCGTCTTTGCTATTGGCGACAAACGTTAAATCTGCCTGTATGAATCACTTTCGTTAGTGTTATTGCCTGGGTTCAAATTTTAAAGGCCAGTCTGTTTGGCCGTTGAATACTGGATGGTAGGGGGCAGTAAATTTATGGTACTTAACGCCAACTCTTTGTATAAAATTCTTGAATTCAGCCGAAGAAAAATTCGTTCCATTATCGGAAAATACTATAAATGCCACTCCTTATGTAGCAAACACTTCATCCAGCAATGTAATCGTCGCAGCTGCGGTCATTGACTTACCTCCAACCATTTAGAGAAGGCATCGCTAATGATGAGTAACATCATTCCCTCAAAGGGACCCGCATAATCTATGTGCACTTGGGATACTCCCAATGATGATCAGTGCACTTCTTCGGGACATTTGCATACTTTGCACATTTCTCGCATTCCGTCGCAGTGCTTTCAATGTCTTTGTCAATGTCCGACCAGGAAACGAAGGACTGGGCTATGCCTTTCATCTTAACCATCCCTAGATGGGCGCCATACAAATCTATCATTAAATTGCCCCGAAATCTGGGAGGGTGTTCAAACATTAAACACCCTGACGATTAATTTGGCGAACCACGAAACTGTCGAATACATCAAGGTCATTACATATGGCCTTATCAAAATTGAGCTTGTTCACTCTGTTGGCTGGAATTACTCGAGACAAAAGATCGGCATTGCTTTTTTCTTTCGAGGTTTTGTGGACCACTTCAAAATCGAAATTAGAAAGGAAATCGGCGTAGTTTGCGATACGGGATATGCATAAAATAGGCAGCGTCTTACTCGGATGTAAGATTTGTACCAGCGGTTTGTGGTCAGTAATCCGAGTCCAATGACTGGCATACATGTACTTGAAAAACTTTTGGACGGCCCATACTATGGCCAGTGCATCTTTATCGATTTGGGAATATCGTTGCTCCGTCGCGTTCATGGTGCGGCTCGTATAAGCAATTGGGCGTTCCTGTCCATTAGAAAGACGATGCTGCATCTGTGTTTTTATTCCAATAGAAAGTTACTTTTTTCAAAACGTCCCGAAGTGGCCTCTCAAGGCCCGAAGTGGTCTCTCAAGTGGTATGAAATCCGAATAATACGAAACCTTTCCCAAAAATAATTGTAACTCCTACAACGTTCTTGGTTTTGTCGCATGCATAATCGCTTCAATGTGTTTGTTGGATTTATGAATTCCTTTAGCGTCGATTTTGTGACCTAGAAATTCAATCGATGACGTCACAAATATGCAGGTCCTTTTGTTTAACTTAAATCCAAACTCCTTCAACTTGCATAATGCAGTCTCAAGAACTTTTAAGAGATCATCAACATCTGTTGCAAACACCAGAATATCGTCGAAAAAATTAAGAATATAAGGACTACCATGTGTAGCCATTTCCATCGTTCTTTGCCAAATGGGCGGAATGCTGGCGGCTCCATAAACTGCTCGAGTTGGACGTATCAGTCCATGTGTTGGAGTATTCATGGACAAACACCGTTGAGCCCTTTATCCTGTTGAAAATATCTTCCGCTTTCGGTATTGGGTGTTCGTCTATTACAATTTCCGGATTTACGGTTGGTTTGTAGTTACCCGTTATACGTATACCTCCATTCTGCTTCGTCACTACATGTGTAGTAGATGCCAATTCAGAATACTCTACTCTTTCGTAAAATCCCGCCGCAATCTTAGCATCTACTTCTTTGGCATACGCATCCGGTATTGCGAGTGGGATTCTCGGGGTCTTGCAAATTTTGGCGTAGCATCTTGCTTTAATTGCACTTTAATAGGAGGACCTTTGAAATTACCCGCTACATCACTGAATATATCTTTATGTTTGGCTAATTGCAGCTGTAGCCGTTGATGTTCAAACAGTATGGTTTTTTTACTGCTATAGATGCTATCTTCTCTCCTGCCGCTGCTGACAACTCCGTCCCCGTTGATGCTTCTATTGGGTCTGGGAACAATTCGGCAAAATTTATTTCTAGAATAAAATGTGCGATCCACTCACGGCCACATAATGTATCAAAATCGCCATCAACTACGCATAAGTTCAGCCTACGACTGGTTCTGCCCAAAGACACATTCACCACGGTACGTCCTATGCACGTAACCTTGTGCCCCGTATAACTTGAAAATCTCCGGTCCGCTTTCTTTAAAACTGGTGACTGCTTTATGTTCTTTAAATTCTCCAAGCTAATAATACTGCAAGAAGCACCCGTATCCAGTTCCATAGACACTTTCTTGCCGTCTATCTTCATTGTGACTATTTTCCGATCGAATGACCCTTTTGTTCTGACTGTTGCAATCTGAGACGTATGTGCCTCTCATCTGAAAACAACGACTCCTCTATCTGCTTCGTATTTGATGTGCACACTTTACTTATGTGGCCTACCTTGCCGAATGAAAAACACTTTGCGTTCCTGAATTTACAATCCTTCCGTACGTGTCGACCACCGAAACCATAGCATCTCACCTCCATAGTTTTATTCGACTTCTGCTTCACACGATTTTTCGTCTTGACAGGTATAAATCCCAATTTGCATGTCGGTTCTGTAGTAATATTCTCACCTGTATTTACTACACCCGTTGATACTTGAGTTAACTCCTTTGCCGTAGCACACTCATATGCCTCCACAAAATTTTTGGTGGCTTAGTAATAATCTCGCCACAAATATTGCGGGATTCCACTCCAAATATCATCTGCTCAATCAGCATCCTATCCCGGAATGCCCCATAGTCACACGAAGCCGCAGCTTGTTTCAAACGCAGTGAAAAATTTGCCGACGATTCCCCTACATCTTGGCGTATCTGTCGAAATCTGAAACTTCCCGCATAAATATTTCTCCTCCCGTCGAAATGATTTATCAATGTTGTTTTGATTTCTTCATAGTCCATTTCTTCTGGCTTTTTAGGACTAATTAGAATTTTGAGAGCCGTATTTAGCTCAGCACCCATATGTACGGTCGGATAATTATGATTTCCTCTTGAGCAATCTTGCTCAATTTCAACGCCCAATTGAATCTGCCAAAATAGTCTTTAACCGTTGAGCCATCTGTGCTTTTGCATTCGCTTATTGCAAACCGTGGCGGTCTTGTTGTATTAATCAGAGATGGGCATAATGCACTAGATTTTTAGTGCACTAACAATTTCACTACCACTATTCACTTAGTGGTAGTGCCATTTTTTTCACTACCACTAAATGGTTAGCGGTAGTTAAAAATCAAATTGCACTACCACTAACCATTTAGTGGTACTTAAAAAAATTGCACTACCACTAAACTTTAGTGGTAGTGCAATTTTTAATAGCAATGCTGATGAATTACGTAAAATTAAACATATGTTTTCACGATTTTATTTAAAATTTTATAATATATATATATATATATATATATATATATATATATATATATATATATATATACAAATTGTTTAGTTCATATCTGTCATATTTATTTTTCTTAAGACCAGCATTTTCTCATTAATTACATATCTCACTTAATTTTTGTTGTTATTATAATTAGTATTTGTATACCTTAAGGAGCATATTCTAGTTTTTCCGTCCTAATTTTTAATATAATTTGATGTATTTTCCCAAAAAACACAATATTTATATCAGACTTATACCATTTAACTTCTGTTTTTCAGGTGCACTAAATTTTAGTGGCAGTGCATTTTTACTTTTAATACCACTAAATGGCTAGTGGTAGTGCAATTTAATTTTTCACTACCACTAACCATTTAGTGGTAGTGGAATTTTAATAGCAATACCACTAATTCTTTAATTCTTAGTGCACTAAAAATTTAGTGCAATATGCCCAACCCTGGTATTAATGTCTTCTGACGTCACAGACTGCGGCCGCGATGTTTGAACAGCCTTCGTCACAGCCGTACGAATTGCATCCGCCAAGGAAGCAAAAGCTGCATTCAACTGCCCCTGGTTCACGTCTGACACCAATATTGTATACTCAAAGTCTTGAGTTTTAATTTAATTCAGTTTATTTCATTTGAAAAGATTGTGATGTACAAGTTACAAGAGTAAACTATGAACTAACAACCAAAGAATACGGAATTGAGAATGTTAGTGAAAAAAGGGCTGCCATCCGACAGATAAAATAAAAGTGATGTTAATATCGAGTTTACATATACAACACGTTGTCACTCTAGGGATACTCTATAAACTTTTCTAAGGGTCTGTCACTTCTAAATAAGACAGACGCTCGATCACCTATTTTCCCAGGGTTCGAGAGCGATATAATAGTTGCCAACAATTTACTTATGTTGCAATGCTTCAGATTCTCTAGCCATTTTTCGCTTATTCTCGCCAACTAGTTTTTTCATCTCCAAAGCAAGTTGGATAAATTGAGTGGCTTGGCAACCCGTTTTTTCTCTTTGGTCAAACCATCTCCCGATAATCGTCTCCATGAACAGATCGCCCAATTTTATAATCTGTGAACGCTGTACTTTTCCTTAACCATGGGAAAGTACACTTGCAAGAATTCTGAGAGTTCACTAACCTTTGCTTTAGAGAACTGACCAATACTTCTGATGTTCGGTTAGCAGAAAGGATTTTCTCGGGACTTCAGCTGCTCATCAAATATCCAAAATAAGACTTAATTTTACAGCAGAAGCAGTGAGACTAGTAAATGAGAGTGATGAGATCCGTGGTACCAACTCTGCTGATCTTCGAGAGAGTGAACCTACAATGAAAGTCAAAGAATAAGTCACTCTCAAACCATGTATAAAAGGATTATATGACTGCAGTCACTTTTAACGAAGTAGTGGTTACAGATCCGAAGAGGTGAGCTGGTCATTTTAATTGCCAATTTTTTGAACATCACAAGAGTAAAAGAGCGAAGCGAAGAGTAATACGTCGTATAAGATCTCTTTTCGGCGAGGAGGTACCTCCAAAGTTGACGATGGGCGATGTTGCGAATGTTATCTAAAACACTAAGTTATTTAGAAACGATTATCAATAGTGGAGGATTTACTCCTGCTCCTCTCCGGAACTGTTTAAAGTCTACCTTTCCGGAATTCTTCGCCCTCCAGACGTATTGAGATCGCCCTATCCCTTTCCATTGCAGGCGAAGAACGTCGCCGAAGAAGAGGCAGCACGACTAGCGAATGAGAGTGATGATATTCGGCGTACCAACTTGGCTGATCCCCGAGAGAGGGAACTGACAATGAAAGTAAACAAGTTGGTACAGGGGCACAAGTAGAAAGAGCGGCTAGACCATTTTAAGTTTTGCAGAATTGACTGAACTGTCGTTAACGATTAAGACACTCTCAATTCCTGGGAAAAGGATTATATAACTGTAGGCACTTTTAACGACGTAATGATTACTGATCCGAAGAGGTGCGCTGGTTATTTTTATCGCCAATTTGTTGAGCACCACGAGGGTAATAGAGCGAAGAGTGCCGTTATATATGGTCCATGCATAATAGTAGACCTATCTTCACAAAATTTTGCTCTGAATTCAAAATGCCAAGTTACTCATGATTAGGTTAAAAATTGTGCTGAAACCTTGAAAATACAGAAAATTATTAAGTGCAGTAACACTGTCCTATACCAAATATGGGAGCAATCTTATTTTTTTTTAACAAGGAGAAATTATATTCATTAAGGACTCTAAATGTCAAGTTACACATTATTTGGTTTAAAATTGTGGTAAAAACATTCAAAATACCGGGTTATACCGAAACGTGTCCACATATGTCCCACTTTTAATACCAAACATATTAGAGGTAATATAAATGTTGAGCAAAATGCAGATATTTCGAGCAGGATATATATTGCCAACAGCTGCAGCTTTGAAAATATCCCAGAGCATCAGATGTGTTGGGCAGTATTTTCCGATATCTTGCCAATTTGCTTACCCATGATTAAAAAAAAGTACGAGTACGAGTGGTTTGTTAAGTTAAGCGACATTGATCTTCTCCTGACTCATAAAATTGATTGTCTTGTTGGTCTCAAACTGAAAGACCATCTCAATTAAACTGGAGGAAAGATGAACAATCCGGAATTTCAACAGCAACGTGTGCTGCTGCTTAAATTGCTGTTGTGGAGATTACTTGGGAGTCTTTTACTGCGACGATGACGATGAAGTAGTGGACGATGTTGATGATGACTCACTGAAGTCTACATTGGCGCAGCAGGAGCAATGTAGTTCCTAACGTTTGTATCTGGTTTAAGGGGGTACAATTGCAGAAGTGCAACCACTTTATGTATCCGTTGCATCTCACCGAAGCCGGGTAATGTTGATTCTAAATCAGAAATAAACCTATGTGAACGGATTTTCTTAAAAGTTTTTATCTGCCGTGAGCTGTTGCTCTATGCATTGTACACACAAATCATTTGCTCAAAATGCATTTTGTCTAGTCTTTACCATTTTAGGTCTTTAACAATATTTATGCTATGGGTCTATAGATTTGAAAAAAAAAAAAACTATGGTCTGAGTCTAAAGCAACTTTTGCTTACCATTTGAATTACCAAATCTCGTGATACTGGCATCCATGCTGTTGGCGGGCGGAATGCAGATATGACAGTCTTCTTGCAACTCCATAATGGACCAAATAATATATATTTCTGAGATGACTCAAACAATTGAAAACTAAATATCACTCAATATACCTTTAAACACGTGTTTTTAGTTGGTTTTAAAATTGTGCGTTTGTAAAAAGAATTACAAACAATTTTGTTCAAAACGATTGAATTATTAAATTAGCAAAATATTCTTACAAGAAAAACTTAAGTTCTGTTATTTTTGCATTCGACTAAACATGTAACACAATACATACCTGGCGACATATCCATAACGTCTTAATGTACATGGACCAGTTTCAAAGCTCCAATAGCCTACCTCCGAAAAACTCAAAGAAGGTTGTTGTATTCTGCGACTTAATTCATGCGAACATCTCACCAACATGTGCATGCAGTGAGTACATACAGCTCCCATTATTAAGGTACCGAACAATCCCATATATAAACCTGCATTTTTGAATGCATCTGGCATTGCCAAAATACCAGTACCAACATTTCCTTTCAATAAATGTATCATTGTATCCAAATTTGATGTTGGGTGCTCCAAACTTCTGTGCATTGAAGGATTGTAATCGGGTTGTACTAAACTGTCCGTATTTTCTCCTAAAATGAAGCATTTGTATGCAGTCAGAATTCGCAATTACGATATATTTAACATTAACCTACCTTGAGCAACTTCGCTCTGAACGTTAACCAGCACATTTTCTGGGGAATTGCGTACGTCAGGTCTTGGAAGGGTGCTGCTTCCGAGATCGTTACTTTCCGATCGCAATAGAGGCTGTCGTTCCGACATTTTATTTCCAGCATTCTATATTTGGAAAAAAATTAGAAAATAGTAGTATAAAAAAATTCTTAAAGATAAGTTTATGAAATAATATCTCAAATATATTTGCTTGAAAAATTGTAGTCACATATGCATGGTACATGGGTAAGAAAAAAAAATGTTGTTTTGTAATTTATGTCTGCCAAAAAAAGGCATGTCGAATGACAAGAAATATGTTGGAATATTTTGTTTATGTTTAATAATAATCATGGCCCAATAATAAGATCGACCAGAAAGCAAATTTCCAAAAAATTTTTTTCCATAATTTTTTGTACAAACGTTTGTCATACCCCGAGTTAGGTTTTTAAAGAAAAAAATATTGACCACACCTCCTTTTACGCCCACTATTTCGATTTATCTAAAATCTTTATATTTGCCAAAATAGTGAAGATATCGGTTTCAGAATTATTACACGAGATGCTGTTGGCTTTCCATCCAACCCTAAGTACTTATTTAGGGGCTGAGGAACGCGCCTACTTTTAAATCTATCTCTCTATATGTAAAAGAAAGTTGTGTTAGTTACTACTCTTATAACATAAAGACCGCCGGTCTGATTTTAACGATTAAGACAAATTCGGAATTGCCTCTTGGCAGAAAAGAATAAAATCCAAAAAAAAAATCGCGTAAAAATGTGAAATTTGAACATTTTCATTTCGACTTTTAAAATGTACAATAGTAATGTTTTATATTGCATATTTTTTCCATTTTGACTTACTATTTTCGAATGTACATTTGTAGTGTTTTTTTTTTTTAATTCTAATATGATGTGTAGGTTTTTTTGGGTAGTATAAAGCCATTCGTTGTCGCTTTATATGAAAATTCTAAAATCGAGAAAAATCGACAATTTTTCAATGGAATCTAATTTTAAAATAATAGTACATTCTACCGACAAATTTCGTAAGGACCTTTAAACATTTGCCGCAAAAAAAATCAGCGAACCAGTTGAAGATTCTTTTTCTTTTTTCTATATTGAAGTGTACATTGTTTTATTGGTTTGAATTCTGAATGAATAGTATTAAAAATGAAATGAGGGCGCAATACGATGTTAAATGCTTTCTACTCCAGGACCTACATCGTGCTTCAGCTGGAAGATGCGAACACATTTAAACAAACAAAAATGACCAAAGAAGCGTTATGGGGCTAATTTCAAAAAGTGGACCTACTTCTTTCAATAAATTGTCAAATGAGAACACAAAATGCAAAATACATTGGGACTGCAATCAGTCAAACGCCGACTATAAAGAACGCAAAATAGAAATTCTACCTAAACATTCAAGATACCTTTAATCGCTTTGCCAGGTCATGATATGGATCATAACCTCTGATAACGGAACAACCCGATTTCAAGTATATTCTACATTTTAACCATATTTTTCGTACTAATTTTAGCTTATGTTGATAATTTAAGAAGAAACCATCTTTGCAAAAAATTATCACGTTTTGGTATCACCATCATATGATTTAAGGTATTTTCGTGGTCTTGCTCACTTTTTCATTTTTTGGCCCTTATTTGACATCTTTGTTTCTAAGGGGGAAGAAAACCTCTTCTTATAAATTTTTATTTTTCGGAAAAGCGCGCATCTTAGTCTTGAGGCTACCTGGGGTAAAAAACCCTGGAGTGGAAAATCATCTTATAGATAATTATCCTCATATGAATTTATTTAAGTATAGTCCCCACATTAGTATACCCCCAAGTCCACTTTCCCAGCCAATGTGTGGTCAGAAAAGAAAATTTGGTATTCTATTGAATTTGTAACCCCCAAGAGAATATTGGTTGGGAACGTAGATTTGGGATGTACGTCTATATGAAATAAACTCCGAAATGTCAATCTGGGACTCATTCAGTCGGAAATTGTGGCAGAAACATGAAAAAAAAATACGAAATTATAAAGGAACTTTATTGGATCTCCACCGCAAAATTTAAATGACAAACAATTAATGTCCATCTTACGGTAATCGGAGCAAAAGAGTAATTTTTTTTGGCAATTCTGACTACATTCTGCCTTCAAGTATGAGGTGGACAAAACTGAATACCACGCAGTACGGGATTTTAAACGTTGGAAATACAAATTTCAAATTATAGCTCATTTGAATGCTTTTTACAATATCAAAAATTGAGCTGAATTTTCACATGGGGCTATTATAGATGTTCTTTATCATATAGGTATTTACCACTCAAATTAAAGCCTATAGCTGAAAAATAAGATCAGGCTCTTCAAAATATCTAAAACCGACGGTAATTATAATTTTTGCCATGAATATTAATTTATATTTAGTCATGGAGTCATTACTCATAATCAAGTCATTACTTATAATCAAAATTGGAGTAATTATAATGGCGTCATTACTTATAATCAAAATTGTGCCGCCTACATAAGTCAGATCTGTGATTTATTATGCTTTAAAGACTAAAAGTACGGGCCGACAACGCGGACCGGGCCAGCTAGTAATTAATAAATATTGTGATAAATGTCAATTTTTCTCAAGCTTTGGAACCTTAAAGCTTCTCTGAAACCTTTGCCTTTATTTCGTTGCTGCAGAAGTTGGTCAATGCAAAATGGGTACAAAGAACCTTCCTCTCTGGTCTTCGGTAGAAAATTGAATGTTATTGCATATGACTAAAATTTTGGAGGTTTCATAAGCTTTTTGTAATGGTCAAAGATATTTAATCTTTTACATCCATTACCGTAAGATGGGAATTATTTTTTAGTCATCATATTATTAAAAGACGATTAAACAAATGTTCGTTCCCGTGTTGCTTTCTAATATTCGTAATTTTTTCACGTTTCTGCCACAATTTCCGACTGAAAGAGTTTCGGAGTTTATTTCATACAGACGTACATACTAAATCTATGTTCCCAACCAATATTCTCTTGGTGGTTAACAATTTTAAAGAATGCAAAATGTTCTTTTCTAATTACACATAAGTTGGGAAAGTGGACTTGCGGGTACACTAATGTGGGGAATGTACTTAAATAAATGCCTATGTGGACAATTATCTGTAAGATTGTTCTCTACCCCAGGGTAGACGAAATACAATTTTTAGCCAAATCAGTTGATGAATGTGGTCAACACCTATGGGTCCTATTCCATGCGAAGAGGTTTTCTACCCCCTTAGAAGCCAAGATGCCAAATAAAAGCCAAAAAAATGAAAAAAGTGTCCAAGACCCCGAAAATAGCTTAAATCATATGATGGTTATACCAAAGCGTGATCGTTTTTTGCAAGGATGGTTTCTTCAAATAACTAACATTTGCCGAAATTAGTATGAAAAATAGGGTTAAAATGTAAAATATGCTTGTAATAGCGTTGTACCTTTATCCGTGTGTTATGACTCATATCATGACCTGCAAAAGCGATCTAAGGAATTATGAAATTTTAGGAAGAATAGAAATCCTTTCCCTACTAAAATTCCAGTTCTACTATTTTGCCCCCTTTATATTCGGCATTTCACTGATTGCAGTCCCAATGATATTTGCATTTTAAGTTCTAATTGGACGGATTATTGTCATATTAAAGAAGTAGGTCCACGATTCCAGCTGAAGCGCGATGTAGGTCCTGGAGTTGAAAGCTAGATACCAATTTTATACATGAAAGATCGCCATTTAACATCGTATTGCGCACTCATTTCATTTTTATTCGTTCAGAATTCAAAACAATAAAAAATGTACACTTCAATATAGTATGTCAAATTGAAAACAAAATCACGTCAAAAATATCCGATTGAGAGGATTCAAAACGAACAAAGCAGTGTGAGTAGCAACAACAACAACACACAAAAGCTGGGGTTTTACCTAAACCATGTCCAGCACGAATCTTGGTTATGCTTCACTGAGTCAATAGAAAACGTTAATTACGCTGCCAGATGCCGTAAAGTCCTTTCAAAAGATCCTAAATCCAAAAGGGTCGATGGTACTCGAACTGATGCTGGACTAAAGGCTCTTAATCTGTTAGCCAGCACTCACTTCCCCAGTTGTACGGTAACCAACCGGCAACAGGATCAAACCTATCGTCATTGTTCGGCTGAACCTGATTGATAGAATTGTAAGCATCCCCAAAATCAGGTGGGCCATAGACAGGTTCAAACCTTTTAAATGCTTTAGTTTCTATAGCTCCAATTCCGGGGGAGATTTTCAAGACTTGTCTGCGTTTATCCCACATTCCGGTACTGTGAAGGAAAGTCACTGTCTCTTATATTCCCAAAACAGGGAAATTAAGTCACTCGCTTCCTAAGGACTACAGACAAATTGGTCTCTCATCCTTTTTACTGAAAATCCTAGAATTGTAGATTGATATAGAAATCAGATCTCTATTAAAGGCTGTCAGGCTTTAGTATTGCTCAGCATGCCCATATGAAAGGTAAAGGTTACATCGAGAAAATCATGAATGGCTCTCTGTTCACATTGGCAACTTTCCTCAATATCGACGGAGCCTTTAACAACGTCACACTCGTGTCATTTATAGCTCTCTTTCAAGCCTTAATATACCCCAACTCCTCGTCACCAGGGACACACCGCAGGGCGGTGTTCTGTCATCGTTAGTTTGGCTAAAGTTCATCAATAGTATACTCATAGATGACACAAAAGTTGTTGCTATTTGATATTGTCCTATTGATTGCGGGAAAATTCCTGTAATCAATTTCAGATATAATGGTGCGAGCTCTCATCTTGCCCATCAAAGACAAAGCTCGTCCTCTTTATGAGGAAACGTAAATGTCGTTGGTTCCTACAACCAATGTTAAATGGAGTCCCGGAAGAGGAACACTGAGGAACGTGTAAAGAGAGGCTTAATTGCATTTTATTCTTGCAAAGCAATAGTAGTAGCCTTAAACCACATATAATAAAATGGGCTTATGAGTCAATTGTTTGCCCTATCTTATCCTATGGAACTTTAGTCTTGTGACACTCCTTAAACAAGTCATCTTATTTATCAAATATTGACAAAGTACGAAGAACTACATCGTTGTTAACAGGTGCTTTCAGGAGCA